AACCCGGGCCGCACGCATGCCAGGCGAGCGCGCTACCGCTTGAGCCACATCCCCAGCCCCCAAAGTTGACTTTTAAAACACAAAACCTGAAAATCGTCTTTCTTCCCCAAAGGACCAATCTGACCATAGTGATTCTTAAAATCGATGTTCACAGGACTGGGGTGCAGCTCAGCGGAGAGCACCTGCCAAGCAGGCCCAGGCCAGGGTTGGAGCCCCAGCACCTCAAAACAAAAAAAAAGGTTTTTTATCAAGAGAGGAAAAGAGGAATCAGCACAAAGCACTGAATGAAATGCTTCTCTGGGATAAGACATCTCCGTTTCCTTGTCATGTTTTGAGAGGAACAAAGGTGCCACCTCGCTGGAGCTCAGACGCACTTGCTAATCAGACATCACTGCTGAGCACAGGGGCGCACACCTGTCACCCCAGCAGCTGGGGAGGGGACCGTAAATCCAGCAATTTAGCAAGGCCCTCGGTGATCCAGCAGTTTCGGGAACAGTAGGTGAGGATGGTGAGGACGGAAGAATAATTCTGTAAAACGGCCCCTGGGCTCGCCCCTCAGGCTTTCTTTTCCAGGAAGCAATTTACCGGCCGCCCTGCCTGGCCTAGGGGGACAGGACAGGTCACATTCCTCAGCAAACTACCTGTTGGCTGAGGGAGAAACGCAGGCCCCAAATGGTGTGGGTAAGAGAAACCCTACTCGGTGACTCCTCTGAAGGAGGACACTTTTGGGACCAGATCCTGAAACTCTGGGAGATAAGAATCCTTCTTCCTGACCGTAAAGTCTGTGAGAACGGACGGTTAAGAACCCAGGTAGAGGGGCCGGGCCGGGGCTCGGCGGCAGAGCGCTGCCTGGCACGCGGGAGGCGCTGGGCTCGACCCTCAGCTCCACACACAAATAAATACCTAAATAAAGGAGAAAGGAAAAAAGAGTCCAATTGGGGGCCAAGGGGACCTAAAGTTGCATGACAGTGGGGACTTGAAAGTGTGATGTCACCTGCTGTCAGTGAAAACTCAAGAGGGAAGGACTCTCTGGAACCTTCTCTGGGATCCCCAGTAAAACTGGGGTGCAGGAGAGGCACCTTGTCCCTCCCCTCTCTGAGAGGACCCGGTCTCTCCCTGGAGAGTGTCCCCTTTCCCTTTTCCTGCCCCTTCAAAGCTCTCCTGCCTGTTACTCGGAGCGACAAAATAAAACAAAAAAGTGGGGGAGGGCTGGGGACGTGGCTCCGTGGTTAGGTGCCCCTGGGTTCCATCCCTGGTCCAAAAAAGGAAAAAAAAGAACAGAACCAGCCGTCACCGCACTTCCCTTTGCCCTGTCACACTCGCGTCCACCCCACATCCACCCTGGTCCTCTGGGTGGACGAGTGTAGAACCACCAGGCCACGCTGGGTCCTGACAGGCCACGGGAAGAGGTGGCAGCCGGGCGCTGAGAGGATGTGGCCAGGGCGTCCATCAGCCCATCACCCATGTGGACGGAGGTGGTGCCCGCTGTGGAGGGCTGGCCCCAGGCACTGTCAGTCCCCACGGGGACTCTCTCATTTCATTGTTACCTTTAGCCAGTGGGGAGGACCGGCTGTCCTGACTCTGGGGAGGACAGCGTCTTGGGCTGTCTGACTCCCTCACGCCCCCAGTGGTTGTGTATCTCAGGAACAACAAGTTAGAGGTCTTCTGGGGTTTTCTTCTGCTGGTGTTGCCAGATCATTCGGCAA